AAGAGATCAATGGTTTAAACAGATCCATAACATATAAGGAAATGGAAACAGTAATACAAAGCCTCCCAACTAAAAAAAGCCCAGGCCCAGATGGATTTACAGCAGAATTCTACCAGAAATTTAAAGAAGACCCTCAACCAATACTACTTAAATTATTCAAAACAATAGAAACAGAGAGAGAACTCCCAAATTCCTTCTATAAAGCCAGCATCACTCTAATACCCAAACCAGGGAAAGACACAACCAAAAAAGAAAACTATGTACCCATATCCTTAATGAACATAGATGCAAAAATTCTCAACAAAATACTCAGGCACACATCAAAACAGATCATCCACTATGATCAAGTCAGCTTTATCCCAGAGATGCAGGGATGGTTCAATATACTAAAGTCAATAAATGTCATTAATCAAATAAATGGGCTCAAAGGCAAAAACCACACTGTCATCTCAATACGTGCAGAAAAGGCTTTTGACAAAATTCAGCATGTATTTATGTTCATAGTCCTAGATGGAATTGGACTGGAGGGAACATACCTCAACATAATTAAAGCTGTATACCACAAACCCACAGCCAACATCATTCTAAATGGAGAAAAATTGGAAGCATTCCCATTAAAATCAGGAACCAGAGAAAGCTGTCCACTATCTCCACTCCTTTTCAACATAGTGCTTTAAACTCTTGATAGAGCAATAAGACAGAAGGAAATTAGAGGATGACTAATTGGAGAAAAGAGGTCAAACTATCCCTTTTTGCAGATGATACTGTACCTAAGAGAGCCCAAAAATTCCACCAGAAAACTCCTAGAACTGATCAAAACTTTCAGTATAGTGGCAGGTTAGAAAATCAATCTACAAAAATCAGTAGCCTTTCTATATACCAATAACAAGCAATTGGAGAAAGAGTACAGGGAAATGCTCCCATTCACAATTGCTACAAAAAAAAAATATCTTGGAATAAATCTGACCAAAGACACCAAAGATCTCTACAATGAAATTTTTAAACCGTTAAAGAAAGAGATTGAGGAAGACACCAGGGTATGGAAGGACCTCTGATGCTCATGGATTGGAAGAATTAATATTGTGTAAATGACCATCCTACCAAAAGAAATATATAGATTCAATGCAATCCTAATCAAAATCCCCATGACATACTTCACAGAATTAGAAAAAAATCCTTAAATTTATATGGAAGCAAAAAAGTCCCTGGATGGCCAAAGCAACCCTAAGCATAAAGAGCAGCATTGGGGGGATTACTATACCAGATCTCAAAGTATACTACAGAGCTATAATCATAAATACAGCATGGTATTGGCACATAAATAGACACCACATAGATCAATGGAACATCAATGAAGACCCAAACCTGAGTACATGCAATTTCAGCCACTTTATATTTGACAAAGGGGCCAAGAACATACAATGGAGGAAAGACATCATCTTCAACAAATGGTTCTGGCAAAACTGGATCTCTACCTGTAGAAGAATGAAAATAGATTCCTATCTTTCACCTTGCACAAAAGTCCACTCCAAATGGATCAAAGACCTCAATGTGAAACTGGAAACCCTGAAACTATTAGGAGAAAATATTGGCATTAACTTACAAGATATAGGTGTGGGAAAGGATTTTCTATAGCGAACAGAAGTTGCTCAGGAATTAAGGTCAGCAATCAGCAAGTAGGATCTCATTAAACTAAAAAGCTTCTGTATAGCAAAAGAAATAATCAAAACAGTGAAGACCCACGGAATGGGAAAAACTCTTCAGTGACACATCTGACAGAGGTTTAACATCCAGAATATATAAAGAACTCAAAAAACAAAGAAGCAAGAAACCAAATGACTCAAAGATGGGCTAAAGATCTAAACAGAGAGTTCTCAAAGGAAGAAATAAAGATGGCTAAGAAACATTTCAAAAAGTGTTCAACATCATTAGTCATTAGGTGTAGGAAACCAGGATGCCTGGACTTAAAAGTTTTAGGCTCATCTCACTCTAGGGCCTAGCATCCCTGTCTTGCAGAATACTATGAGACTGGCAGGAGAAAGTGGCCAGGTCATAAGTGCAGGCTCCCTGCTCTGTTGGAAAGTGTCTTGGTCAACAGAATCTCCCTGTCCTCAATAAATAACTCAGCTGTCATTAGCTAAGAGATTTAGGCCAGGTTAAAGGTTTACTCCTGAGCTAAAAGCCAAAAGTTTACCATGCTTTTAGCCCTAAGAAAGAAAACATTGTGGCCAATAAATTACAGGACAGGCATTGGTAACCTTGAGTAAAAGTTTATGCATCCTTCTGGCACCAACTAAAAGACTTATGTCCTGTTTCTTTCTACCCTAAATCTTTGTATGTGACTGTCATATCCCACGTGACTGCCAGTTCCTTGCAAAATATAAAAACCATCTGAATTTTGTAATAAGCAGCTTGTAAAGACACAAGTCCCAGGGTCCAAGACTGACACCAGTAGGTATTGCCATCCATCATGAGAGCGAGGTTCCCCACTGAGCAAGGCATACTTGGGTCTCCCAATAATTAGGGAAATGCAAATCAAAACCACCCTAAGGTATCACCTTACCCCAACCAGATTTGCTAAGATCAAGAGAACAAATGATACCAAATGCTGGCCAGGATGTGGAGAAAGGGGAAAGCTCATTCACTGCTGGTGGGATTGCAAATTCATGCAACCCCTATGGAAAACAGTGTGAAGAACTCTTAAAAAACTAAATATGAAACTACCATATCACCCAGTTATACCACTCCTTGGTATATACCCAAAGAACTCATCCTATTGTAGACACTTATACAACCATGTTTGTTGCTGCTCTTTTCGCAACAGCTAAGAGATGGAAGCAACCTAAGTGCCCCTCAGCTGATGAGTGGTTAACAAAAATGTGGTATATTTACACAATGGCATTCTATTCAGCAGTAAAGAAAGATGAAATAATGAAATTTGCAGGTAAATGGACGGATCTAGAAACTGTTATACTAAGTGAAGTAACACAGACTCAGAAAAATAAAAGATGTATGTTCTCCCTCATTTGTGAATCCTAGCACCAAATCCTTTTAAATTCCATGTCCTTTTAATAAGATGATACTGTACAGCATTCTCTTCTGCATGAAATAACTACCATCATTACGGTTTCAGCAGCACCTGATTGCTAAACATCGACACAATTGGGCTTGTTGTTGGTTGTGCTCCTTCATTAAAGGAGGGGCAAGCAGGGTCATTGGACCCTCACCAGAGTATCCAGCCACTTTTCCCAGCCAACTGTATGCGATTTTGGCCCTAATCACACATGGTCTCTCACAACAGTTGGAAAACTTATTTGTTAATGTTATTATATCTCATAATTATTAGAAAAAGAAAATGAAAATGTAAAAGATGTTCAAGGGATATGGGAATGGAGATATTTTCCAAAATAGAAAAAAAATGAGAAAGCCTAAGCAAGTGATGAAGGTCTGTGTAGGCAGACTAATTTATCTACATAGCACATGGTAATTAAAAGTACCAGACTGGTGGAACTAACATTATTGGATGTTTAACAGCCAAACGTTGAGGCCTATATTAATATGGTCAGAGGAACTTAAAGGACAGTTTTTTGCCCCTTGTCCTCCAAGATCAAGTAAGTTCCAGGGGACTATGGAACATTCTCAAAGTGTTCTGTAACTGTGATGAGTCACCTGTCCTCTTGTTCAGGGAGGCCATGGAGACCCCACCCAATGGACTTGAACCAGTGTCTAGTCTACAAAGAGGAGGGTCAACTCAGAGGAAACATTTCCTCCATGTGTCCAAGTGAAGCCAGGACCTTTGACTTATCTTCACATAGACAGAACTGGTAAAAGAAAAGAGCCAGGGACGCCTTCAAGCCCACATGACCCCTGAGGAACAGATCTTCAAACAACCTTAAGTGTAAATATAAATTGGTTTATTTGGGCCAACTGTATGGTCTTAAACACCCAAAAGGAAAGTATAACCAAAGAGTAAAGTGATCAGTATATTTAAGAGTTCAAGGGATTACACTTCTCAGACATTAGGCTTAAGTCCATATAAAAAGTTATTTAGACAATTATCTCTCGTTGATGATTTTGTTCCTAGTAAGAAATTACTGCTCAGATGTAAGACTTCAAATCTTGGTCTGAAATACTGTATTGCTCACCTGTAGCTAAGGGAGACAATCTGCTAGTCTCCTAAAATGATGGCCAAATTTGTTTTCTCCCCCTATCTAGATGTCTTTGAGAGGGATCTGACATTGATTCTAACCACTCCAACAGCTATCAAAGTGCCTGAAAGCAAATCCTGAATCCATCACTCTGGAGTCCAGTCTTGGAAGACAAAAGAAAAATGAGGAGGAACCCAATAGAGGGATGCTTTTGGAAGCTCTTGTCAAGAAATTCCAATGGACTCTCATATGAACATTTGAAATTTGCCTCGTTCTGACTTTTTTCTAGTCCCCTGTCTAGAACTTGTAATGCTAATTACTCTTGCCTTTACTTCTCCTTCACATCTCCTAGTCACCAGTCAAGGACTTTCTTTTTCCCCACAGATAAGATTTATGCAATTTGGGAGTCTTTTAGATAGACCCACTAAAGGGGTACTCCAATTGTCTCACCCTGCATGCCTGTTCAGCATGGACGAAGCCAGAGCAGTCTGTCCCAATTCCCTATCCTTAAGTTGGGTAACTTCTTCAGAAGATGGTGTGATAAGACTAGGATGTAGGAATTGACTAGGCAGTTAGTGTAAAAAGACCCCAAAGAAAAGTAGCCAGTTTCTTGGCTAAATGTCAAAATGTCCTTGGGCCTCTTAGCAACATACTCTGTTCCAAAGGCCAAAAATGTCAAAAGTATTTGGGAACTCTTATCTAGTCCTTTAAAGATTTTAGGGTTCCCTCTTCAGAGGGGGGAATGTTACAGAAGCAAAAAGAAGAAAGAGTACATGAAGCTATCAGAAAAAGTGATGGGAGATATGGAAGGAGTTGGAGGGGAGGAAGTGGGCATGGATTTGACCAAAACTCCTTATAAGCTTATATGCCTGTATGAAATTCTCAATAAATTATTTTTTTAAAAGACAGCTGTTTTGTCTCACTTGATGGGGATGCTGGGAGGGCAGGATCTAGCCATTCAATACCCATTCAACACCTTCCAGTACTAGGGCTAAGAACCCACATCCCGTCAGTGTCCGTGCTTACCTGCAATATCACTGTGCTTTACTTCTCCATACCTCTGTCCTGCAGGGAAACTATCTCAGTGCAAAGAACAATCTTGGGGATCAGAGATACAGACGGAAAAGCCTCATGGGCCAGCATTCTTAAAATCTGAAAACAATTTTCTCAGATGCCTACTTCCAATCCTGGCCCTGCATCTCAGACTCCCAGGTGTAAGGTTAGGAAAAGGCAGGCTGTCAAAGATCACCGTCCCATCAACTCAAGTATGGTTCAGGCCCTGGTTTCACACAGATCTTTTGATTCAGATGGACCAGGGCTTGGCAGCAGATCCATTTGGATTGTAAGCCTCAGGATATTTGCGCAAGCACCTAGAGCTCAGTCTTGGACTGGCTCCATATTGGGCACCAAAGCCAAGAAGGTCTGTTTTCACAACCAGGGTTCCACGAGGCAGACAGATGTCTCCACAGTCATGGCCAAACAGGTGTCCAAGGACCAAAATAGCAATCAGATGACCAGAAGGGCCAGCTTACCACCTTCTGTCCAAAGCCCAGCATCTTCCAGCAGCAGCAGCAGCAGCAGCTAAAAATAGGCATGAAAAGCACATGCTTTGGGAGTATCAACAGGGACAGCACCATCCCGACCTGGGTCCAGAGCACAATGAGGTCGCTCCGCTTAATTTCTGCTGAAGCCTTGGTGTCCCACCCCCAGCTGGCCAAGGAGAGCCTGGACAGTGTAGCCTACAACCTCTACCCACTCCTGTTCAAGGCTAGCTACCAGCTAGAGCAGGCAGAAGTGACTCGTGCTGTGCTGGGTCACTGGCCACTAGAGGAGTTCCGGCTAGCTGTGCTGCTAGGGCCAAGTACCGACCACCCTGAGGACCTGCGTGATCGTGCCTGCAAGGTCTGCCTGGAGGCCTGTGTGCAGGGCCTGGCTGACCATGTGCTACGAGGTGGGAGCTGCCGGTTGCGGGTAGCTGATCTCACAGGCATCCAGGATGTGCAGGTGCAGCGGTGTCCTTGTGGGAGGGCACTGGGAAGGTGGGGCCGCACCAAGCTGCTGGCCAGGACCTGCTGCCAGCTTCAGGCAGAGTCTTGTAGAGCTGGGCACCCCATTGAGGTCCTCACTGACCTCTTTGTCACAGACAGCAACTTTGATGTGGTGGTTCAGGCCCTTAAACTGCCAGGCCCATCCCCTCTGCAGGTGCGCTGCCCTTCACTCCGGGCAGACAGCCTAAGCCCTGGGCAGCTCCTACAGGTGCTAGGCCTAGCTAGGCCAGGGGAGCTGAGAAAGCTGGAGGTGGTACACAATGTCCGATTGCACGCTGGCCACGTGCAGCAGCTTCTGGCCCAGGTGGGCTTCCCTCAGTTGGCCTCACTCACCTTGCCCACCAAAGCTTTTGACGCGCCCCCCACCTACGCCCCAGCTCTAGTGGGTGAGGATCCTCTCCTCGCTTCTATTGCCTGGGAGCTCAGCCAGATGACCCAGCTCACTGAGCTGAGTGTGGCTTTTTCTACACTAACTGGAAAGATTCAGACACTCCTCAGGTAAGTCTGAGACAACTGGACACTAGTTAATTGGGGCAGAACAGGGACAGGGATGGGAACTGCTTACCCAAGGCCATCAGCTCATTATTCTCTGGGGATGTGCTAGCCAGAACAGCAGGAGCTAAAGTCATCAAGAAAACTACAACACTGTGTCAACTTGGGAGACTACTTTCAGTAGCAAAAGAGAATGCTTTAGCCAGGTATGGGACATTGCCATAATTCCAGCATTCAGGAGGCTGAAGCAGTAGCACATAAATTTGAGGCCAGCCTGGGCCATGTAGAACATAGAGGCCCTGTCTCAACAACAACAACAACAACAACAAAAAAAAAAAAAAAAAAAAAAAAAAAAGGAGTAGGCTATAGCATAGCTCAGTAATAAAATACTTGCAAGGACCTAGTTTGGTTTTTGTTTTTAACCTAATTTTTGGTTTGTTTTGAGGCAGAATCTCTCTGTAGCTTCAGCAGGCCTGGAACTCACTAGGCAGACCAGGCTGGCTTTGATCTCAGACATCCACCTGCCTCTGTGAATGCTGAATTTAAAGGCGTATGCACCCCCAGGCCCAGTCAAGGACTTAGTTTTTAATTCCTAGTATCAGAGAAGGGGGACGAGAAGGGGTGGGGAAAGAAAGGGAGAGGATGGGAGAGAGGGTAGGAGGGAGCTAACTAGAAAGTAAACAGCAGAAATAACAATGGGACCTCCCATCCTTGCCTACTGTTGTATAACAAATGAGTGGGAAGAAGGGAAGAAGGGGAGGGGAACGGTAATCTCATCTAAGTCCTAGAGCTAGCAGGCAGTGGTGTCTCCTCCTCAGCAGCTTTGCAGAGGACATTTTCTAGGGAGTGACAAAGTCAAGGTGAGTTCATATGGAGAGTGGTAGGCTGTCATGAAGGCAGGACCATGTGTGGGCAGGCAGCAAGAGCAGGATAGGCGGGGACAGAGAGTAGGAGTACTGCAGTACAACCTATTTGGCTCAGCAAGGGTGATACAGGATGTTCCCAGGCGGTCCAGAGTACCCAGAGGATGGGGTGGCCTAAAAACATACCTCATGAACTGTGAGTGGGAATCTGTTCCAGAAACCTCCCTTAGCTTATACAGACTGCCTACACCAAGTCAACCATAATTAGTGATTTCAGGATATGGAACCCAAATTCAGACCTTGGGCTTTGAAATTGTACTGGCTCCATTGTCCTCAGAGTGACAGTGCTTTCTTTCAAGTTAATTCTGTCCGTTGCTGTCCCCCCAGTGGGCTTTCTGAGTGTTCTCTATGAGATCATGTGCATCACTTCCCAACACAGTATGAAAGGGCGTGTTGGTAAAAATCTTCTTAGGTTCTTTTACTTATTTTTATGTGTATGAGTGTTGTGTCTGTCTGCATGTATGCAAGTGTGCCCATGTTACATAATGCCCACGGAGGCCAGAAGAGGGCGTCAGATCCCCTGGAACTGAAGTTACGGACATTTGTTAGCCACCATGAGGGTGCTGGGAACTGAACTGAGGTCATTTGCAAGAGCAAGATTAGCCAGTGGTTTATAACACTGAGTCATCTCTCCAGCCTGTAGGTTCTATTCTTGACCACTTGGCAGGCCCAGCAGTCATAGGCTGCCAGAATGAGAGAGCCTGGCTGTCCCAACTAAGCATATTTATGAGCACAGATATTGCAGTTCATGTGACTTTCACATCACAAACTATTCTTTTCAACTGGTTAAAAATATCAAAGTCATCCTCAGCTCTATCATAGGCCATGAGAAATGAGGTGTCAGCTGGAGTTGCTGTCGGGCTGTGACCCCTAAGATAGCAAAGTGGATAGATTGCTTACCTTCACCAGAAACCTAGCTCACCTGGAACCCACCTAACATTTGTGATGTTTTTGCCACCCCTCAGCCCCTTGAAGACACCATTGCGAGTGCTGGACCTAGCCAACTGTGCCCTGAACCATGAAGACATGTCCTTCCTGGCAGACTGCACCCACACTGCCCACTTGGAGGTGCTGGACCTCAGTGGACACAACGTGGTCCACCTGTTCCCCTCTACCTTCTTCAGGCTGCTGAACCAGGTTGCCCAGACACTGAGGGTGCTAACTCTAGAAGAGTGTAACATCACAGACAGTCATGTTGGTATGATGATCCTGGGCCTCAGCCCCTGCAGTCAGCTCCAGGAGTTCAAGTTCCTTGGAAACCCGCTGTCAGCCAGCGCCCTCCGGCGCCTCTTTGCTGCATTCTGCGAGCTTCCCAGGCTGCGGCGGATTGAATTCCCAGTACCAAAGGACTGCTACCCCGAAGATGCCACCTACCCCCAGGATGAGCTGTCAATGTCCAAATTTGACCAGCAGAAATATGACATGATTGCTGAGGAACTGCGTGCAATGCTGCTGCAGGCTGACCGGGAGGACATCCAGGCCTCTACCCCCCTTTTAGGAAGTTTTGACCCAGAAATTCATGAAACCAGCAATGAGCTTGGTACTTTCTTGCTGCAAGCTTTCAAAACTGCTTTAGAAAACTTTTCCAGAGCACTAAAACAAATAGAGTAGGCCCTGAAATCACGCCATGAGAGGCTGTGCACTTCAACTGACATGGTGACCCGGGTTCAGTCCTGAATGAGAAACTTGGGCACAGCCAGCATCATCACTGCTGGAAGTTATTTCTTAGTGAAAATTGTAAGCATACCTGTTAGGCACTATAAGAGAAAGCCTTGCTTTCTAGGTGTGACAGGAAGTGTCCCTAGCAGTCAGCACCTCAGGATCCTGCAGGGGGGAAGCCACCATGGATGAAGGACCTACTACAGTGGCAAAGGATGGATAAGTATGTGGCTGGACACCAAGCAGGGTCCACTTGGCTCTGATGCAGTGAGGGGGAGGAAGGAAATGAGAGAACCCATCACAGAAAATGAATAAAAGTAGCAGCAGCCCATAAAATAATAAATAAATGGAGAGAGACCAAGAAGTGAGAATGAAAAGTGAACCAGACCCAAGCCCAGCAGCTCAGCTAGTCTAGCCGGACATACCCTGACTGTTGTATTAATGCTGACAAGAGCAGGGGGTTTATGGTGGGGGTTGGGAGGTGAGGCAGCTTTCAACTTGCTATCCCAGCTTGTGGTGGCTTTGTTTCACATCCAAGCAGGTATGCACCAGTCTGATGTAGGCTGGGCCTGAGGGCACCTAGTTGTTGAAGGATACCCAGGGATTACTGGCACATTTGATCACATTTTCTGCTCCAGATCCAGACCTTACACCAGGCATGTCCAAGCAACAGCAATGCAGCACACAGCTATGAATGCAGCCCATCCAAAAATCATAAAACATAGAAACATTTGTGTGTGAAAATTTCTGATCCTATCACACAGTTCTCAAGTATGAACTTTATAGAAAATAACATCGTGCTACCATGTCAAAGGCTGAACATGCCTACAGTGTTGTACCCCCAAAATCCCTGCTCCTCAGAGTGGTTGAGGTCTAGCCTTCTGCAACTCTTTTGAGACAAATCATCACTTGAGGAAGATTTGTTTGAACTTGGTTGCTAATATCTGCTTTGCCAAATAAAACAGAAGTGTGGTTTACTCAGGTTGTTTCATTACTATTCTGAATTTTTAAAATTTAAAGTATAAAAATAAACCATACTTCTTGTTAAATGTACAAGCTTTGATCCATAACTACCTGTGTGCTGCCCAGAAGTCTGAAACTTGATTCCACTGTGTGGCTCTTCTCCATGTGATCCTCCCTCACATGCCTCTCCATCCCCAGTCCCTCTCATGACACTTCCTCCCTCAGGTACATCATCTCAGGTCCTTCCATGCCACCTCCTTTCCTGGGTACTTCTCTACCCCAGGTCCTCTCACACTACCTCCTTGACTAGGTCCATCCCAGGTGCTTCCATATGGCCCCTGGCCTTAGGCATACCTACCGCAGAATGGGACAACTACTGTTTTCAACTCCAATCCAAAATAACACAACCAACAAGTAGTTAGAAAATAAAATTACAAGCTGCACCAAAACTTTTTAATCCATTGCAGCCTTCAGCCTCACATACCCCTAATTTGACACCTCAGATCAATCAAAAACAGACTACAAAATGACAATTCAGTAGCCCAAAACCCAAGCCATGCCCATTCAGCATCTCTAGAGCCCAGACTTAAGAGACCTGAAGGTCTGACAATTATTAAGACCTCCGATAGCAGCTACAACCAATGCTGGCCCCCAAAGTCACTACAAATTCTGTACACCCACCAAGCAACACTTGGATTCCTTTTTCTACAATTAAAAATTTTATTTATATATTTTGTGTATGAGTGATTTACCTGCATGTATTTAAGTACACCCGTGGGTGCAATATCCACAGAGGCCAGAAGAGGGCACTGGATCCCCTGGAACTGGCAGTTAGCTGCCATGTGGGTGCTGGGAACCAGACCCAGGTCCTCTGTAAGAGCAAACAGTGCTCTTAACTGCTGAGCCATCTTTCCAGCCCCCCTTTTCTGCAATTTTAACACACTGTGCTTGAACAATGTTCTGCTATAACTTCATTATATTAACATACCCTTAGGTACTTGTAGTCTTGAACAGTCATAAAACTATGCAAATTATTTAAACCTAATAAGCTCAATTTTAAAAGATGAATAATAGATTTGAGATAAAAAGTGTCCACGGCACATATACAAATGGGTCCAATGTGATTTCCCATGGAAACTTGTCCTTATTTTATAGTGCTGGGCATGTATAAATTGAATTGTGCATGCCAATCTTGATGCCAAAGGGGGCTAGGATATATGCATGTTGGACTTTAGGAAATGTGTTACTTCTCTGTTGCTGTGATAAAAAACCATGACCAAGACAAGTTAGAAAAAGATTATTTGGTTTATGGTTCTAAAGAATGAGTCCATCATGGCACGGAAGCATGGAAGGAGGTGGCCAGAGCAGAATGCTGAACACTCCCACCTTCAAGCACTCAGAGAAAGCACAGGGACAACTAGAAGCGAGGCAAGGCTATGAACTCTCAAAGCTGGCCCCCATGATGCACTTACTCCAGCATGGCCACAACTCCTAAAGGTTCCAAGATCCTCCCCAAACAATATCACCAACTGACCCAAGTGTTCAAATGCTATGGAGGATACTTCTCATTCAAACCATCACAGGAAGGTACAATACACAATTTACTCTGAAAACCACTCACCTTGAAATTCATCTATAAAAGTTTTCATTTTTAAAAATATTTTATTATTTTTATGTGTATGAGTATTTTGCCTGCATGTATGGAAATGCACCTGTGTCATGGAATGCCTACAGAAGTCAGAAGAGGGTGTCAGATCCCCTGGAACTGGAGTTATGGATGGTTATGAGCTGCCATGTGGGTGATGGGAATTAAACCCCAGTCCTCTGCAAGCTTAGCCAGTGCTCTTAACCACTGAGCCATCTCTCCAGCCTGTTTTCTTCATTTTAAAGACAAACCCTAGAGAAAAGCATGAAGCAGTCTATACAGATGACTGGAGTAACAGAAACAGAGCCTATGCAGCTCCCACCAAGGATCTAATGCACAGAGAAAACTGTTTATCAGATGTGCCAGAAAAAAATAATTTGTCAAAGTGCTGACAATATAGCAGAAGGAAATGACAAGTATTTATTGAGAAGTGCTTAAACTACTGGAGCAGCTCACCTGGAGCAGGGATCAACTGACTCCAGCCAAGAGCCTGCTGCCTACTTCAAAGATGATTCTGAATTTAACACAGAATATAAAATATGAGACCCAGTGCTCCTCAACATTCTACAACTGAACTTTTCTGTAAGCTTAGTATTTTTGTTTTATCTCTATATAGAAAGATGGGCACGGGGTAGAATATTAAAGGATCTGAAAACAAACTGACCACTTTGCTCCCTGCCTGCTTGGCCATTGTCAAATAACCTCACATGGGCTCCTAGTTCTGGAAACCAAGCACCAAGCTCTGACCCACTCCAAGAATACTACCAGAGACCTAAGCAGATCACCTTCCCCTTCACCCCTCCTGTGCAAGAGGAGGATGTGTGGAAAAGCTCACTTAACAGACCTCTGAATGCATTCTCTCACAAGACCCACTTACAAGGCTAGTCCCTAGCAGGGAACCTGGATGTTGGCAGTTGCCAGCACTGTTCGCTATTAAGAGTGGCTCACCATACCTAAATTGTGTGCAGAGTATGAGTGATACCTACCCCTGCCTTCCTGTGGGGAAATGGAACTGGTAAACATCAGGCAGAGGATTCACATGAAGAGCCCTCACCCAGTCAAAACCCTGACAGCCTCCAGTGAGTTTCCTTGATTGACCTGCCATGTCACAGCTCGCCCTGTGATTCCAAGGAGTAGGACCTTGAGAGCTCTACCTTGTTCCTTAGACTTACCTTCTCCCCCTGCTGATCCTGTTTCTCTTGTTAGAACAGATTGTATCCCTGAGGGCTACCACAGGTCGAGTCCTGGAAACCCACAGCAGGTCACAGAACCAGGGGTATCCTGGAGAAGTCCTACTTAGAAGCTCATAATAGAACTTAGCTCACAGGATCAGAGTAAGGATTACATTAGTTATGTATAAAGACTCCACTCATACAAGCTACATATGAAGTGGGTTGTAAGTGCCTTTTAAATCATAGTAAAAACTGAGACAATACATTTAGAAACATATTGTTTTTTAAAAAGCCATGGGACTGGAGAGATGGCTCAATGGTTAAGACCAAGAACTGCTCTTGCAGAGGACCTGGGCCTGGGTCTCGATATCCATGTTGAGCAGCTCACAACTGCCTATAACTCTAACTCCAGGGGAGCTGATGTCCTCTTCTGAACTCCATGGGCACCTGTACTCATGTGCACAAACTCATATGCAGACACACACATATACACACAATTAAAAATAAAAATATTTTATAAACCAAACAGGTATGGTAGTACACACCTGTAATGCCAGCACTTAAGACGACTGAAGCAGGAAGATCCCAAGTGTGAGTGCTGCTTGGACTATGTGGCTCTGTCTCAAAAAAGAGTAAAGATCCATACAAATGAAAATGACACTATTACTTTTAAATGCCAAATATCTTTAACTTCATATCATTGCTAATAAATAACATGTTTACTAAATATAGGAACAGCTCAATTCTAAGCATATACTAGGATATCAACTGGGGAGAAATGTTTCAAACAAGAAAAAATCTTTATAACACCATTGACCTATGTGAGGCAGTGGTACACATACCAAATGACTCAAGATGGAAACAGGGAAGAAAAAAAGAACAATTAGAAGAAAAGGGAATTATTTAGGGAGCAGTAAAAATTGACAGAAAATTTCTTAGATGACTAATATTATATTTGATCTTTTGAAATATTTACTCTATAACTAAAATGATATTGTATTGTTCTGCTAAACATTAGCAGCTCAAAAATGTTTCAGAAAAACCGAATCTCTCACAGTGTAGAGCATCACAGAAGAAACCTTATCTGCCAAGGGCCCACTGCACTGTTCAGAGTGGAAAGTCTGGACTTCTCATTAAGGGTGGCTGCACTGGGCCACACATAGGTGATAGGGGAACACAAAAAAACATCAGGAGGTTCTAAAATGTACTCTGCCAGGGTGAGTGACAGTCTGACCTTGAGTTTCATTTCATTCTATTTTTCAAGTATAACCTTTTCTACTTTCTTAAACTTTTTCAGTTCAACAAGTAGTTCCCAATATTTGAGATATAACCACATGAGCCTTCCATTTTGGCGTTTGTTAGTGTTCCAAACATCTCCACAATGCTTATCATTCTTAAATATGTCGGTTAAGCCAGCTGCCATGTCAAGGTCAGCAGCCACTGGATCGACAGATGTGCGCACCAGTAAGTTCTTCTCCAGCTCTAACCTTGAATTACGGGGAAGGACCAGGCTGCAGTAGATATTCTGGCGTTCCACGAGAGCTTCTCCCACATCCTTCAGCACAAGCTGGGCTTTTTTCTGCCAGTCCTTCTCTTCTTCCAGGCAACTCAGGTACACACTTCTCAGAGGCTGCAGCTGGGTTTTTTCTTGCCTTATCTGAGCCCGTTCCTGTTCTAGAAGCTTCTTTTCTTCCGCCAGCTTGCGCCCCTGAGAGATAAGGGCTTCTCGAAAACTAGCTGTTCTGTTTTGCTCCTTTTCCAGTTCCAAAGACAGCTGAGCAACTGCACGCCTATGTTCTGAGATCACAGCATGGTACTTGGCTTCGAGATCCTGTTGGAAAGCAGCTGTTCTTTGACGATATGCTTCTCTCTCTTTTTCTATTTCTTTTTGGGACTCCCTAGACCAAATCCAACCTGACATGAATAAAAGAGACAAGAAAGACATATCAGGAATAGTCATAGCTGAAGTCCTATGACTTTCATTCAAAGAAAAACATAACACAGTAAAGATAACATTTAGATAAACTCAAAGGTACTAAGACATTGAAACTTTGTAGATAACTACAAAATAGGGAAGGTTCTTAACCTAAAATCCGACCAGTGTTGGGCTCCAAAAGCAGCACGTACAATGTTCTAGTTTGCTGTGACAAAACACTCTGAGCACTACCAATTTGGGGAGGAAAGGGTTTACTTGGCTCACATCTCCTGAGTCACAGTTCATCAGGGAGCTCAAGGTAGGAGCTGGAGCACAGGTCATGGAGGAATGTTGCTTACTGGCTTGCTCCTCTCACCCATGCTCAACCTGCTTTCTTATACAATACAGGACAACCTGCCCATGGGCTGGGCCCACCTACATCACTCAACAATCAAGAAAATGTCCTACAGACATGGCCATAGGCCAGTTCAATGGAAGCAATTCACCAATTGAGGCTCCCTCAACTCAGGTGTGTCAAGTTGACAACTAAAGCTGTCTACACATACAAAAAGGTCCCTGTTCAGTTATTTAATCTGCATGGTTAAGAAAATTTACCACTGTTTTCTTAAATAGTTTATTTATTATTTTTATTTTATGTGTATGAGTATATTGCCTGCATGTAGGTAAGTGCACCCGTGTCATGCAATGCCTATGGAGGACAAAGAGGCCATTGGATCCCCTGGAACTGGAGTTACCGACAGTTGTTAGCTGCATGTGGGTGCTGAGATTCGAACCTGGGTCCTCTGCAAGAACAACCAGTGTTCTTAACAGCTGAGCCATCTCTCCAGCCCTCCACTATTTTCTTTGCCTTCAAATCTACCATAATTTAAGTGCTCTGGCCACAGTGCCCATGACCTATTTCCAAGGTTTAACATGAAGAGGCTTCAAGAACTGCTAGAAGTTATACTTGCCTTTACCCAGTCATCATCAGTATGCAGCTTAAGTTTAGTGTGTTTACTTATGTTCTACAGAAATAAAGTGAAAAGGTTCAACCTTAGGTTTTAAGTGCCTGCAATTCTTAGGTAGAAGGATTCCAAGTTCAAGGACCAACCTAACACCCAAAATGTGCAAGTTTCAAATGAAAATAAATCATACCAAGCTCAGGAAAATTAGAGATTTTAGTGTCATCTTATTTCAGTAGCAAAAAAACAAACAAACAAACAAACAAAAAACCCTTAAGATTGGTAAAGAACATAAGATTCTCTGGCCTACATGAAAATCCAACTTTCCAGTTTTGCCAGATCACCTGGTCACAAGACCACCCTGAGGAAGGGAAGTCATGGTAAAGATATGGGCAGAATACCTCCTGCCTTAATTCCTGGCCAGAATCCCTGCACTTTAGTGCAGTTCTTGTGTCTCTGGGTCACATGCATGTGGCTCTCTTGTAAGTTTTCAGAAAAGTATAACCTTTCCTCTTCTGATCTCTTTTCTAACTGTGCTTTCCCCGATGCTCTGGGTTGCCTAGACATCCTGTATGTCTTTGTCTCTGAAGCTCCCTTCTCCTCCCAGCCATGTGGCTGCCAACCTGCCACCTGCCTGTCTGGCCTCCACAGTGACTCTAAATGGGCATAACTTCAAGGTGTTTTGTTTGGTTTTGTTTTTGCCCTTTTCCCCTCCATTCTTCTCAAGGCGGCTGCTGAGATTTATGCCTCGCCTGCCCTGAGGATTTTTTTCCTTAAATCCTAATAAAACTGTGGTCCTAAAGCCTCTGTTTGAGTCCGTTCTTAAATTCTTTTATGGATGTGACTAAGACCCTAGAAGGGGACTCTGTTTCACCTCTGTATGAATCTGACAAAGACTTTAAAATAGTCACATCCTGCATACTTCCCTTTATATAACATTCTGAACCAAATGGTTCCCAGATGAGTGGCTACTGCATTACATAAGGAAGAATGGCTATGAGGTGACAGGAGGATAAAGGTACTGAGCACTCTGCATTACTGATCACAACTGTGTGTGATTGACAATGGTCTCAAACAGTCTCTTTGGATTAAACCAACTTGCACTAAATGATGAACTCTATCAGACACTTTCAGCTCTCCTAGGAAAGGGGAAAGAAGAGGAGGTAAAACAATTCATAGGAAAGACAGCATTGAGGAATGGAAAAGGACAGAGAAAATGCAGCAGAAGCAAGGAGAGAGGAGCCTAACAAAGGGTGAAGCGCTGTACACTCTTCCAGATGGGCACAGCTTTACGAGTCTGCATCATAGTGAAAGCTATAAAATTTAGGGCTATGAATGTAGCGAAGTGGTAGCATTCTTGCCGACATGCACAAGGCCCAGGGTTGACCCTTAAAACCACAGAAGGAAGAAAAACAAAAAAGGAAAGAAGCAAGGAAGAAAGGGAGGGGGAGAGGGAAGACAGGAGGGTAATAAAGTTTAAATGATCAAGCACCCCATGGAATCTTCTCCAAAATCAAATATACTACGGCACAAAACAAACCTCAACAAATACAAAAGACTGAAATAATTCCATGAATTCTATCAGACCACAATGCAATAAAGCTTCCAATCAACACCGGAAGAAGCCCTAATCACCACATGAACACATTGAGATTAAACAACACACTCCTGAATGATGAATGGGTCAAAAGAGAAATTAAGAAAGAAATAAAAGTATTCCTGGAACTAAATGAAAAGGAAAATACAACACAACAAAACCTCTGGGACACACTGAAAGTGGTCCTTAGAGGGAAGTTTATAGCTCTAAGTGCCTACATCAAAAAATCAGAAAGAACACAAGTGTGCAACTTAACACACTTGAAAAGCAACAGCAAACGGAACTCAAACCGAGCAGACAAGAAGAAATAACAAAAATAAGGGCAGAAATTAATGAAATTGAAACAAAGAAAACAATACAAAGAATCTACAATTCCAAGAGCTGGTTCTTTGAAAAGATAAACAAGATTGACAGACCGCTAGCCCAATTAACCAAAAGAAAGAAAGAGCACCTCCAAATCAACAAAATCAGAGATGAAAGGGGAAACATCACAACAGACACCAGAAAGATACAGAA